ATAAATCTCACTCATATAATATATAATGATAATATTCCCTTCTCAGAGTATCCTACCAGGAATAGGGACAGATCAGGTTCTGCCCATTTTACTGATAGAAAAACATATCCAGTGAGATTGTCCAGTCTGTTCAGGGCACCCTGTAGGCGGGGCCTGGAGCGGGGCGGCCTGGCCTCCGCTCAGCATTGGCTGTTCGCTCGGCTCGCAGCTCCTCCTTCCCTGTCCTCTTCGTCTTCATAGTTTCTCTGTTGCCCAACCATTCATTCTAGCTGCTGGGGCCCCTGATCTCTGGAGCTTAATTCTTGGAGAGGACACAGCTGACAGAAACCCAAATTGGCAGGGAAGGCCCCTCCAGGAGGTTGAGTTCCTAGTCAGTGTCCAGGCTCAAGATCTCTGCCCTGGGTGGAGGCAGAAAAGACGTGGCCTAATTGTGGACAGGCCCTTACTGGCTCTAGATCTGCCTCTCATCTGAGGAGGATCGTTATCAGGATAAATATACCCAGCTCCCCATTCCTAGGGAGTTACTCACCCAGTAAAAGCACCCTGAGTGGATTAGATTACCTCTGCTCGAACTGCTCACGGCTCTCATTGCTCACAGTGCTCTGGCCTGTGGGAGGGGGAGTGGGGAGACCCGCCTTCCCACTCTGCTCGCCTTCCTAATCTGGAAGAGTCTCGCCAAAGGGGCCAGAGGAGACCATCCCTGAGCTGGTCCTCCTGTTTACATAGCTCCTTCCTGAGGCCAGGCATGCTTACTGCTTATATCCCTGGGCTTGCACAGCTGTAAGGGACCCCAGAAGCTTCTGTGACACTCAGGCCACCAGGCTGGCACTCAGGCTGCCCAGATGGTCAGCAGAGGCCCCAAATGTTCCTTTGCTCAGGATCTGCCTGGGTGGCGTGGGACTGGGCGAGGGACTTACAGAGCTGTCTGCCTGGATTTCATAGGATTTGGCAGGCGCAGACCATGGCATGGGGCTGTTGGGAAAGCCGTGATACCCTTGCTACCTGTGCTGGGGCTTTCAGGGGACATGTGCTGCCCCTTCCTCCTGCTTGTCAGCTCAGTTTTTAAGGAAGCTGTGCCAGGCACTTCTGGGGCCATGAAAGCTGAGCTAAACTGGCCCGCAGAAAGGTGTTGAAAAGCACTTGTGCTTGCTGTGGGCCTCTCCTCAGCTGGGCATCATGAGGGGCCCTCTTCTAGAGCTCCCTGGAGCTGTAGCTGGAGGAGCCTGGAGTCAGCACCAGGTGGCAAGGGGCCAGGCAGGGAATCCCACAAAGCCTGGGAAGGGGTGAGAAAGCTGGCGTGGTGCCTTGCATTTACCTGTCCCAGCTGTGGGTTATGCGGTGGGGGCTTCTCCCTAAGGCTTTCTGTGGGGCCAGAATGGTGCCCTTGCTGCTGCCCCAGGACTGGATTGTAGCGTCGTTACCCTTGGGTGGGGTGGAAAACGAGGTGCTTTCTCTGTCTGGGACTGAAGCTTTCTCTGGGAGGGAGCTCTTGTCTGTTGTCTGCTTAGCATCTCCCATTCACTGACCGTTCTTTTCTTCCAGACCCCGTGCTAAGCCAGTACTCTATGTGTTTTCTTGTTTAATCCTAATTCTGTGTATAAAATGGTGACGTTCTCCCAGGGCAGGCAAGAGAACCAAGGCACGAGGGCCATGGAACAGTGTGTCCAAGTAGTTTAGCCACTGAGCAGGATGTGTGGCCCTGAGTCCCCCTGTGCAAGTTGCAGTGTCGGGTGACGGTGAAGATCCTGGGAGGAGAGCATGGAGTAGCTCTGGGTCCTCCCCCTCTCCTGCACTTGAGCCGTCCTGGATGGACCTTTAGCTCATCTGTTGGCACCTGTCCAAATGTAGGCCTCTGGTCTTGGCAGTCTTTATCATACTATAAGTGGTGGCCAGGCCTGGTAGGAGGAAGAAGCCCCAGCTGATGAGAGAGCCCTGACTTATTTCTTTACCTGATTGAAGGTGGGGGTAGAAGGTTTCATTGATCTCTTTTCCTTTTTTCTCTGCTGAGGATTGAACCTAGGGCCTCTGCATGCTAAGTGTGCACTGTACCACTGAACTCTACGCCCAGCCCCATTGATTACCTTGAACCCATTATTGAACCAGATATGTGTCAGTGTGTCAGTCTGGGTTCCCACAGTCTAGAGGGCATGACCATGCTCCATGTTGAGGGTGTGAGGGGACCCCTGGTCTCCTCTACTTTGTGCCTCTGGGCTGATACAGGAACTTGTGGGGTGCAGCTGCAGCAGTTTGCAGGAATGCCGGCAGACCGGCCCCTCCAGTCTTCTTAGGTGGTGCGTTTGCAGGGATGCAGGGATGTAGGGATGTCTGCATCTTTTGTTGTTACTGGGGATTGAACCCCCAGCCTGGTGCAGACAGCCACACACCTGGCTCCCAGCCTTTTTTGAGACAGGGTTCACCAGATTGCCCAGGCTAGCCTCAAACTTGCTATCATTCTGCCTCTGGAGCAGCTGGGATTATAGCCATGCACTGCCATGCCTGGCATCTTAATCCCTGGGATTTGTAAACTTCTAAATTTGTACTCCTGTCCAAAGGATTACAGTCAGTTTCTGGAGCTGAGGGAGGACTTTTCCTGCCCAGGCACCTGCCCTAGGGCAGCCTCCCAGCCCAAAGCCACTGCTGCTCTTAGCTCTTGCTCTGGCCAGACGCAGCCTCAGGGTAGAGATAGGGATGTCCTAAGCGCTGACTTTTTGAGAAAGCACCAGAAGTCAGGGTGTGTGGCCTCCTAGGACTGAAGAACCCCTTAAACTGCATGGCATGGTCAGGTTGTACCTCCAAATGATAGTGTTCCAGGCAGGGCTTGGGGTCTTCATACCATCTGCCTTGTACTTCTCCTAGTAGCCTGCCCTGTCCCTCCTGCTCCACCACCTCCCCTCAGCATTGAGACTTCATTGCACTCATGGCTGGGGACACCCGGGTCTTCTCCCAGCTCTGCTCAAAAATCCCAAGACTGCAGGTTACTTTTGGTTGTGCCCCATGGCAGGAAGCCGACAGGCCAATGGTGCCCTCTGGTGGTCAGCAATAACCCTTCCTGGCCTCTGTCCCTGGGTGGCTGGGGACTTTGCACCTAGCCTGTTGCCAGCCTGGAGACAGCCTGCCTGTCTCTGATATACATAGGTTTTCTGTTCCCATCCAGTGACCTTGATTTTTCCCAGAGAGGGAAAAAGAAAATGCTGCAGAGGCTAGGGTGGTTTCCTCCAAAAAGAGGATGCTACTTCCCATTAGAGCTTCTTTCTGCAGGGAGACTTGAGTTGGGATGGTCTTAGGCCTGGACCAGGACCTTGGTGAAAAAGCTGTGAGGCTGCCTGTGGCCTAAGCGAGGACCCCCACCACTTCCAGGCGGAGTATCTGGAATCTGCTGTCCTTATCCATGGGAAGGGAGTGTGTGTTCCTCTTCTTACAGAGTTCTGGTGATCTCTGACCAGAGCAAACTAACACCTTCCCTAGGGTATGAATAGAAGGAATTTCTTCCTTGCTTTCTCTGTTTGTTTTCTTTTGGTTGTTTTTGGAGACAGGGTCTTGCTATGTAGTTCTACCAGGTCTTGAAGTTACTGTGTAGCCTAGGGTGGCCTTGAACTCATAGTGATCCTCCTGCCTCAGCCTCCTAGTGCTGGGATTACAGACGTGTACCACCACGCCTGACTCAAATACAAGGAATTTCTGAATCTGCCTTCAGGTACTTGGAGCTGGGCAAAAGGCCATAACATTGCTGAAATCTCCAGGAAGCCTCTGGGATGAGGCCATACCTGCAAGTGACTCCTTTGTGTCTCTGTTTACTCAAGCCAGGGGAGGAGTTTGCTGAGCTGGTGAGGAGACTTTGGCCCTTAACCATTTTGTAGCCTGGAGGGAAATGTCAGGCACCTGCAGCCCCGGGAATCCAAACTAAAGCTTGGCATCTACGCCTTGGGTGCCTCCCATATTCCTGCCTCTTCCTTGGGCATTTTGTAAGGAGTTTGGGGGACAGTGCCATCAACCTCTGTCCAGATCTCCAGGCAAGTCTACAGAGGGAAAGAAGGAAACCACACCAGAGGTCTGCGGCTTTTGTAGGTACCTGCTGGGATTCCCCTGTCAGGTAAACAATGGCTGGAGAAAACTGGAAAATTGTTTTGTCTTCTCCCTGACATCAACACATGCTACACTTTGAATTTTACTTTATTACTTTGTTTTTCTCATCAGTATTGCCCTGTTCATGTCTTGCCCATATTCAACCCAGAAGAGACTGAGAAGGAGAAGTTGTACTTTGCAGCTTACCCTTTTCCTTGGAGGAAGATCTTTTTCAGGATTTCACAAAGCAAATAAGTCCCAATGCTTGCAGCTGTCTGCTATCCCTTATAAACCTCACACCAGTACTGTAGGGTAAGAGTTATTTGGTACAGCTTAGTGAAGAAACCGAGGCTCAGGGAGGCCGGGCAGTTTGCTGCAGGGCACATACTAGGTGGAGCTGAGACTTGAACTCAGGTCTGGCTCACCTCTAAGACTAGCAGTCCCTTGTCTGTGTGCCCTAGGACTGCACTCTCCGACCAGTAACATAGGTATCCATGTTGGAAACAGCCTAGAGGAATCATAAAGCAGAGTCCAGTCCATAGACCAGTAAACCTGACTTAGACTCGCACCACAGGGGAGGGGCTTAGGGGATTTGGGAAATGGGCAGTGGACTCCCTGGTTCAGAATGTAGAACAGGGAAAGCTGGGCCCGAGAGACCTGCGTGCAGAGCCCAGTGATGTACTTGTTGCCTGCTCTGGAGATGCAGAGGGAGGATCCCTGCCCCCGCTGGGTTGAACAAAGGGGAAATGGGAACATTGCGTGAAGCCAAGGCACAGGTGTGGCCCTGGAGGGGCCACTGGGATTGGCTCTGGACACTGGTTCCTTTTCTGCTGTTACCTAGACACATACTAACAGCTCCCTCTAGTTCCGGGTTGCTGGAGACAAGAAGCCAGACCTCCTTCAAAGCACTGGAGGCAGAAAGGGCTGCGGGAACTAACCTTCCTCAGAAGTCGGGAACCAGGACCAGGGGCCTTGGGCCTTGGTACAGGTGTCCTCTCTGACCATCTGGGCAGGAGCCTGGGGTAGGTGCGGCTGTGCTGGGGTGTGCCTGGTGGTCGGGGCAGGGTTCCGGGGAGAAGGTGTGGCCCCATATGCCGGGGTGAAGGCCTTGCTTCCTTCTCTCCTCTGGGTGGGAGTGAGGATGGCGGAACAGGGCCACAAGAAAGGCTTGTGTCGGCAGGCTTCAAAGCTTGGGCCCCTGACATTCAGGAAGTTGAATTCTTTAAATATTGCATCTTCTTGCAGCCACAGCAGTGTCTTATAGGCTGTGTATTCGGGATTTGGGGCTTTTTTTTGGTTCCATAAATTGAACTCAGCGCTTCGTGCTTGCCAGGCAGGTGCTGGGCCCGGAGCTACGTCCCTGGCCCTGGATTTGGGGCTTCGGAGGAGGACATACAGTCCTACAAGTCACCAGCCTTGTTACCTGGGGCCAGTGCCTCTATTTCTCCAAGCCCACTTTCCTCTGTCCTAAAGGGAGGGTCAGAACTGCAGCCTTCTGTGTTGTCAGGAGGGCTGACTGTGACCGGGCGTGTAAGTGCGCAGCACTGTGCGCAGTACTCGGAAATCGCAGTGAAGCAGCCATGGCGTTTTTGAAGATTATTGTCCTGAGGGTCGCCAGGGAGAGGAGAGCGAGCAAGTGTGGAATCATGGCGGGCTGAGTGTTTGGCATCTGGGGCTGGGCTCTCTGGGCTGTGGGCCTGTCAGGGGTCCCAGGAGGGGAAGAGTTCCCACCTCCACCACCCCTCTAGCTCTACCTTTCTAGTCTGGAGACCGGAGGGACCCAGGGTTCCCTGGGTTCTTGGCTGTTGGGTGCCAGGTAACAAAAGCTTGTGCTTGAGGGTCGGTTCGGCTCCCTTGCTGTTGTTAAAAGGGAGTAGTGGGGCCCCGGAGCCTCTGGGGCTGGGCTGCTCGCCAGGCTTCTGCAGAAACGGCCAGCGGAGCAGTCCTGGCCCCGACTTGCCGAGGGGGTGGGGATCGCTGCGCTAGCTTCCTTCTAGCCCCCACCTCCCAACACACCTTACCGCATAGCCTGGAGCTTCAGGAGATGCATGGAGCCTGGGGTTCTGCTGCTTCTGCCTGGTGAGGAGGGCATGTACCTCCTCTGACCTGCAAGCTGGGAAAGCCTAGCTCTTGGAAGTTCAGGGAGGGCCTGACACTGCCCAAGCCCCTCCCCATGACGTGGGCCCCTCCTGTCTGTTCTCGGCGGTGCCCTGCGGAGCAGAGCTCCAGGCAGGCATTCCTCAGCCGCACAAGCCAGTGGCCCAGCCCTGTTGGTGGGAGCACTGAGCCAAGTGCCCGGCATCCAGAGGTAGGACAGCCTGGAGAAGCAGCCCGGAGCAAGCTGCAGAGCACCTTCACCTTCCACTTAGGCTGAGGAGAAGAGAGCAGTGTTGGGAGCTGGTTCTTGGTCAGGCTTCTCTGGACTGGTGGCTTCCTGCCCTGAGGCCGGTCACTTCTCCCATGGGTGGGGTGGGAGCCCAGCACGCCTTCATTCTTGAGCTGTAGGCAGGCAGGGCGCTGCTCCTGGAGAGTTCCCAGGTGCCGGGCTCTCACTTGCTCGCTGTGTCTTCTCTTTGCAGACGCCTTGCTGGCAGACTTGGAGTCCACTACCTCCCACATCTCCAAACGGCCTGTGTTCTTGTCCGAGGAGGCCCCCTACTCCTACCCAACTGGAAACCACACCTACCAGGAGATCCCAGTGCCGCCCCCGGTCCCTCCACCCCCGTCCAGCGAAGCCCTCAATGGCACGATCCTTGACCCCTTAGACCAGTGGCAGCCCAGCGGCTCCCGATTCACCCACCAGCAGGTAAGGTGGGGGCAGGGGTTGGGAAATCCCTGGAGGCTGGGGGGAAGGCACAGAAGAGGCTTATCTGGCAGGGGGTTGGGGAAAACAGTGGAAGAATGAGCTTGGGAGAACAGATTGGGGGATCTGGCTGTCCCCAACCAGACGCTGCTCCTCCCACCCACCATGTGAGGGGGACAGTGACCAAGAATTAATCACCAGTGTCCTAGCCAGATTGTGGAAATTCCCCGGTGAGACTGGTGGCTATGAGCAGAAGCCATCTGGGGGTGACTCGGGCTGCTCCTGTCCTCCATTCTTTTCCTCCCCTTGGGACAGTTCTCTGAACACGCTCCTTCCTGCAGCCTCCATCCCCGTCACCTGTGTACGGCTCCAGTGCCAAAGCTTCCAGTGCCTCCAACCCACAGGACAGCGTCAGCTCTCCGTGCTCCCGAGTGGGTGAGGAGGAGCACGTCTACAGGTACAGCCCCACCTCCGCCCTACTGTTGGGAAATGCCAAGGACCTGGTCAGGGCAGGAGGCTGCTGGGGCTGGGGACCAGGCATAATAACAGACCCTCTGGGGATGCTACCTTCAGCATCACTGGTTTAACCTACAGAAGTCCTGGAGGCTCTTGGTGTTAACTGGCCTATCTGCCTTGTCACTGCCATCTGTGTATAGTGGATACCGTGGGCTGTCACGGCTTCTCCATGTGGTTGAGGAACTGAAGCAAGACTTCCTTCCTCCCATCTCCTTGCCACACCCTTTCCTGCTCTCTGCCCTCTTGCTGAGGAAGACATCGTAATCGCTCCACCTGATACTTCCTGAGAGTTTGAGGGCCACCAAGCCAGGCTAAGGCTGAGGAGCGTCTCTCACTGTCTTCTTTCCGTTGCTTCTCGAAGCTTCCCCAACAAGCAGAAGTCAGCGGAGCCTTCACCTACCGTAATGAGCTCCTCCCTGGGCAGCAACCTGTCTGAGCTTGATCGTCTGCTGCTGGAGCTGAACGCCGTGCAGCACAATTCACCAGGGTTCCCTGCAGGTAGGATTGGGTCCCACATGCTGGACCCCCGGTCCCTGGAAGGCTGAAGGGCTGAATACCCTTTCTCTTTTTTCCAAGATGAGACCAACGCAAGCCCCCCACCACCTGGGGCCCTGAGCCCTCACTACGGCATTCCAGAGAATAACAGCCCAGTGGGAGGCAGATCTGGGTCCCTGACAAAAGAGAAACCCAAGCGGAACGGGGCCCGGGGACTAGAGGACGTGCGGCCCAGTGTGGAGAGTCTGCTGGATGAATTGGAGAGCTCCGTGCCCAGCCCTGTGTGAGTATCCGCTAGGCTCTCTCCGGGCTTGGGAAGGTTTTGCCCACCCAGGCCTGGGTTCCAGTGTCTGTCCACTAATCCTGGTGTCACCCATTCCCTTGTGCCTGTTGTTTGCCAGGCCCTGGGTGCACAGTGGTGACTTTTGAATAAACACTGTCCCTGCCTTCAACAGCCAATAGCAGTCAGAAAAAGCAGACAGTAACCAGGTATTGTGGCACACACTTAAAATCCCAACACTTGGGAGGCTGAGGCAGGAGGATTGCAAATTTGAGGCCAGTGTGGGCTACACAGTAAAACACTGTCTCCAAAAAAAGGGGGCAGACATTGTATATGCATGCCTGTACTTCAGTGGCTGTTGGCACGGGTTTTGCAGTTACATAGTAAGGCTCAAATCATGACTCTGCCAGTTACTACGTGTCAGCTCTTAAGCCTTAGTTTTCCCAACTGTAAAGTGGGATCAGCAGATAAGGGATAATGGAGATGAGACTATCTACCTCAGTAGAGGTGAGACCACATAATACATGTAAAGTGATTGGAGCTGTTTCTGGCTCATTGTGTGTGTTCCTCATGGGACATACTTAACATGAGCTTCTACCAGTGTTTCTGTGGTAATGTTGGTCTGTACCCTGTTGTGGAGGACACACCTGGGGTGCCTGGTCATGGAATGCTGTGAGCCAAGCTGCCGTGTGTCCTACTGAGTCAACTCATCTCAGGCACCGTGCCCCTGATGTCAGCCCGTTCCCAGTGACGGGTCCCTCGGAAGGACTGAGTGTGGGGGCTCTTCCCCAGGGTTGGAGGTGTTGAGACCCCGGTGTCCTTTATCCCCTGCAAAGCCTGGGCCTGCTTTCTGGGCTCCCCACTGACGCCGTGTCTGCCCTGCAGCCCCGCCATCACTGTGAACCAGGGCGAGATGAGCAGCCCCCAGCGAGTCACCCCCAGCCAACAGCAGACGCGTATCTCGGCCTCCTCTGCCACCAGGGAGCTGGACGAGCTGATGGCCTCGCTGTCAGACTTTAAGGTGCCCTGTGGCCCCGCTGCCTTCCCTGCCATGCCCCCTCCCTCGTCTTCCTCCTCCTGTACCTCAGTGTGAGTACCTGGACCTCGGCCCCTCAGTGAGCGGGTGCCTTGCCCTGAGCTGGGGACCCTGCAATGCCAGGAGAGCAGGATGCAGGTCAGGGAGGGCCGGGCGACATAGGGGCAGTGAGGTGCCTCAGTAGCCAGTGGAGGCGGGGAAGCCAAAGAAGCACTCAGCTGGGACATTCCTTCCTCCTCGTGGCTCCCAGCTACCCAGGTCCAGGGGATCAGGAGACTGGGACACGGGGACAAAGGGCCCTGTGTTGATAGCTGTTCTTGGCGGGGGAGAGCGTGCTCTGCTGGGCCACGTGGGACTCAGGATCCCGTGCCTGAGCGGTCACTTGCCCGGGAGCCCCGTCTCCCACGCTAGCTCTTCCACATGTCCTCTTTCTTTCTTTCTGTCTCTGGCACTTCAATCCAGCCCCCCCTTGCCAGCCTCCTTCCATCCTCTCTCTCACCAGGGTCTGGCCACTGGGCCTCAGAGTTCCCATGACCCCTGTCTGGGGGAAGCCTACCCTCTCAGCCCACTGGGTCAGTCCTGCATTGGGTGCCCCCCACCCCACCCAGCTCCTCTCCATCCCCTGTGCACTCCGTACCCTGCCTGCTCCGTCCCTCCTCTTTGAGGCCTCCCCAGTCCTGCCAGCTGGCAGTGTTCCGTTTAGTGGATGCTGTGCCCGGATGGGGATTGATATTGACAGAATTCTGCAGTAGTTGCTGACTGCACCTCCACGTGGGTCAGCCAGTGACCTTTGGGGCATGACCTAGGGAACCCGAGAAGGAGCCCATGGGCGGCACATTCTTGGTCCTAATGGGGCCTCCTGCCTCGCTTTTGCCTGGGGCTTCACAGGAGAGGGTGGCAGCTTGGCCAGGGTGAAGGGTTGAGCCTGGGCTTATTACAAGCTTTGTGTGCCATGGTTCTGAGCAGCCAGTGAGAGGCGAATAAGATGCATTCAGGAGGGGCTGGGGATTTAGCTCAGCAGCACAGCGCCTGCCTGGCAAGCGCGAGGTCGTGAGTTCGATTCCCGGTACGAGGAAAAAAAAGCCAAAAAAAAGATGAATTCGGGCTTTGGCCTCAGGGATCCCTGTCTTGCTTCCCTTTTGAGGGGTTCTTTGTGAGATAGCTTATGTCCAGAAGCCCAGCAAGGGGAAGCTGTACTTCTGACTGTGTCCCTAGAATAAGGTCTTAGGGACACAGGAAAGCTGGGGTTGTCCAGGAGGGACAGGGCTGAGAGTTGAGCCAGTGTCAGAGAAGGGCAGAGCAGCTGCCTCCAGCTGACTTCCTCTTGGTTTGTGCTTGGCACTGAGCCCCCTCTTCACCCCTCTCCCTGCTGCTTACCTCACCTTGCTCTTCTTTTTCATACCTACTGTACAGGGTTGGCTTCCTGGCTGCTTTCTGTTGCTGGGTTTCATGAGGGCCAAGAGTGTGAAGCCCAAGAAAGGGTTTTTTGAGGTCTGAGTCTTTTCAAAAGTCCATACTTCAGCTTTGTGACCACTTGGGTCAGTACAGATGGTGGCTGTCCAAGCCCTAAGGCTGAGCCTACCCTTGCTGTGAGCATCCTTCCTTATGTCTCCCTTTCTTTCTCTCTCTTCTCCCCTTTCCCTTTGTCTTTCTCCTCCAGACCAGCTCCTCTGCTGTGGCCTTGAGCTCCCCAGGGCTGCTGCCCTGCTCAGCTCCATCTCCAGCCTGTACCCTTCCTGCTCCTTCTCCATCTCCACCCATGCCTTTTGTATCCCTGCCTTCCACCTCCAAACCCTCTCCTCAAGGCCGAGGCCACACTCCAGAGCTCCTCTGTACTGAGGAGAATAGACAGAGCCTCTTACTTCCTGTGGCCCTCAGCTGGCCTGATTTGGCTGGCCTTGGGGTGGTGACTGACACTTACGATTCAAGGTCTCCCTCTGCAGAGGGTTCCGCAGGGTCATTTGGTACAGAGGGCCAGGCCCCGGTTAGGGGGGACCTTCTGAACCCCGTGAGGGAGCCCTCTATGGCCTCCCTTTGCCACACTCCACCTCCTGTTGGCAGCACAGTCTCCCAGGAGCCTGGAGATCCTAAAGGACCACAAGGTAACCCTTTATGTCCAGAGGAGGCTGTGGTTGCCGCTCAGAAGTGGCCATGGGCTTTGGAGGCATCCAGCCCTGAGACTCCCTGTAGAGCTGCTTGCAGCTTTCAGGAAGTAACGGAGCCAGCTGTTGTGGCTGTGGATCGTCAGGCCATCTTCCCAGACACCTGGAGTCTCGCAAAGGAATATGACCAGCAGGAGAGGGCAAGGCCAGAACCCGGAGGGCTGGAAAGCGGCTGTCCTGCCCCAGCTGACCAGGAGCAGTTAGGTGGAGAAAGGCCCAGGAGGGGAAGCCTGGTGGTGCTGGCCCAGGGACCCAAGACCCCAAGGAGCCCAGAGGGCACCGCTGAAGCTGCTGCCGAGGCCAGGAAGGAACAGCTGGAGCTTCCACGTGCCGTGGTCATGGGCACACCCAGCACTGCGGAGAGGATTTCCACCTCCGGCCAGGCAGGCGCCCGCTTGTGAAGCCACTGAGCGTGGCCCTGGCGGGCCTGAGTGTGGGCTCCTCCTGCTAACTGCATGCAGCCTCCACTGCACGCGCACCTGCCTGTGCTGAGGGCCCGTGGCTGCACCCCTAATGGCCAGCACTTGGTAATGGATCCTGCAGGGCAGCAGGGCTCCCTGGGCCCCAACATTGCCTATAGTGATGATCTATCTCTTGCTCATTTCAAGTTTCTCCCTTCAGATGAGCTTCCCTTGGTATTCTTATGTGCAGAATGGTTAAAAGCGTGGACTTTGAAACCACCTAGACCTAGATGGAAACCTCGCTGCTAGCACTTGCTGCCTACGTGACCTTGGGCAACCACCTTAGCCTCAGTTTCTCATCTTTAAAATGGGAATAATAACAGACCATTGCCCACCGAGGTTGTCTGAGGATGAAATGAAATAATTCCTAGAAAGTATGTGGAACGCAGCACATGACTCCTCAGTAAGCTGGGCTTGCTGTTACTGTGATTTTTGTTTGCTTCTTGCTTGATTAAAACTCTATGCTTTTCTCCAAAACAACAAAAGCCTTCAAAACACTATAAGCAAGTAGCTTATAATACAAACAAGAAAAGACAAACTGGTTAAAAGATTCATTAAGCCGGACACATGTAGTCCCAGCTACTTGAGAGGTTGAGGCAGGAATATTGCAAGTTTGAGGCCAGCGTGGCCAACTTAGTGAGACCCTATCTCCAAAAAAAAAAAAAAAATTACTAAAGTCTGTATATGTCTGTCATAAATCAGAAGAAAGCCTCCTGCCCAGTGAAGAACATCCACTTACATCCTGATCCTCTGAAATAATTTATGTGATAGCCCTGTGCAGCAAGCCAAGAAAACTGTTACCCCACTGTAAGGATGGCGAGGCTTTAGGCTCTGGAAGTTAAGTGTCTTGCCCGAGGTCAGGGGCCGGCTTGGAGCTGCCAGCCCAGGGACCCAAGGGTCTTCTGTTGCCTGTGCCTGAGCCAGTGCCACCTGCCCTTTGCCTCCATGCCCCTCAGCTTCGCTTTCCTCTGGTGCTTGTGTTCTGTCCTCCCCTCCCCGGGACACCTGAGTGTGGACTGAGCAGTGTTGTGCCCAGCCCACATGAGGACAGTGACAGCTTCCCCTCCGCCCCCAGATCCGCTCTGTGATCAGGAGGAGCCGGGAGACGGGCCACGCGCACCCCATGTCTCGGGAGCCCTCCCCTCGCCGCCGGCTGGACCCCGCCACCCTGAGCAGGACCCCATCCCAGGAGCAGCTCATCGCAGAGCTGCAGGGCCGGCTGGGCATCCAGCCGGAGGTGGAGGAGGCCACAGGGCCAGCCGGGGCCTCTGCGCAGGACTGGCTGACCGAGGGCATCGTCATCACCGTGCAGCCGCGTGGGCGGAGGGCTGGGGGGCAGCTGGTAGAGAAGGTAGCCAGGACCTGGGCCACAGGTGTCCAGATGCTTCCTCCGCCCCAGTGCTGGCTGGAGGAGTGATCTGGGGGTGGAAGGGCGGACTTCTGTATTCTGTGACCTTGTCAGGCTGGCTTCACTCTTGATGCCAGCGTGGGAAGGCCCAGGAGCCTGGGGATATTGGCCCACTCCAGAGCTCCTCTGTACTTGTGCTCATGCGCAGATAATTTCTTCTTCTTCCTCATCTCTCTCCCCGCTCTCTTCCTCCCAGGTTGTCTTCCCTCCTGACTCTCCCATTCCCCTGAGAAGAACCATCTCTATTCTGGCTTCTCCTCCTGTCCCTCCTCTCCAGCATCACCGAGACGCCTCGGCCGGCAGCTCTTCTCCCCTGGCCAGCCTGCCCACCCCTTCCCGCCTGGGGCCCTCAGTCTCCACCCATGGTTGCCCAGGGGTCCATTGTGCAGGGGACGAGCCCCATGATGAGGAGGGGAAGGGCTACACCTCACCCACTCCTGTACCCCACACTGTGAAATCTGTGGGTTGCCAGACCGATGAGGACCCACTCTTCCCCCCGATGCAGGCAGGCCTCCTAGGGACCCCAGCACCAGCCCCTCCTGCCCCCGTCCCCTCTCCCAATGCCTAAGCTGTGCCCCAGTCCTGTGTGTGTGTGTGTGTCTGTACACACACACACACACCCACACACCACTACACCCCTGTAGCCCTCGCACGTTAGCCACAGCCCGCCCTTTGACCTTGAGCCCGAGCCCTCACTGTAGCTGATGTTCAGGCCCCACTCCTCAGGAAATCAGTTGGCTTCTGGCTTTCCTGTGTGGCCTCGCTGGCCCCTCCCCACTGTCCCTTGGTTTGGGCATCAAAGAAGGCCACTCCCAGAGTGGAAACCGGAAGCCCATCTCTTCCCCTTCCAGCCCTCAGGCCCAGGACCTGATGAGGCTCTGTGCTGTCTGGCCTCGGGCAGCTCCCCTTCCTGCGCCCTGTCCCTGGGGCTCACGTCGGCCACTTTCTCTGGGTTGTTTTTGTCTAGATTTTTTTTCCCCCTCATTTTGATATTGCTAGTAGGGGAAAATCCTTATTTTATCCTGAACTCCCTTGCGTGCAATGGTCCAATGACAAGGTCTCGTATTCTTTTTAGTTTCTTAAAAAAATTTCTTCTTTCCTCCTCTACCTAAGATGCACGGCCTGGAACAGAGAGCGGATGGAGAGTGGCAGTGGGCAGCTGGCTGGCCTCCGAGCAGCAGGCAGAGCAGCCCTGAAGGGCAGGACGAGGGAGGGGTCAGTGCCCGAGCTGGGGGCTGAGGTCCTGTTTGTCCTGCTTCCCTGGGCTTCGTCGTGCCGCGGAGGCCGTGAGCCCTTCCTTCTCACCCTCTGACAACCCCAGCCGCCAGCATGGCCTGCTCTCACTCCCACCTTTAGGGCTCATCAGGCCCCTGGAGGACACCGCTTCTTGCTTTAGTCAGCCCTTCAGTCTGTGAGGAAGCCTTCCAGGCTGTGGTGCTGTGAGATGCCATGCCCCCTGCCCTCGGGTCCCACCAGCCTTTTTTGTCCACACAGTTCATGGCCCAGGGGAAGGCCAGGAGCAGCTCACCACCCGGGGGACCCCCAAAGCCAGGGAGCCAGCTGGACAGCATGCTGGGCAGCCTGCAGTCCGACCTGAACAAGCTGGGGGTGGCCACGGTGGCCAAAGGCGTCTGCGGGGCCTGCAAGAAACCCATTGCTGGGCAGGTAAAGAGCAGGGAAGATGGGCGTGGAGACCTCTGCCCTCTTCTCGCTCTGAGCCACCTTCCGTCTTCCTGCTCAGGTCGTGACCGCCATGGGGAAGACGTGGCACCCCGAGCACTTTGTCTGCACCCACTGCCAGGAGGAGATCGGATCCCGGAACTTCTTTGAGCGTGACGGGCAGCCCTACTGTGAAAAGGACTATCACAACCTCTTCTCCCCGCGCTGCTACTACTGCAACGGCCCCATCCTGGATGTGAGCGTCTGGTGTGGTGTGGCGGGCAGAGTGGGGGCAGTAGGTCCCATGAGTTCATTTCACCTTCACTGCAACCCTCAGCGTGTGGCTGCAGAGAGGTCGTGTCACATGCCCAACACGTGGCAGCTGGGAAATGGTGGGCCCGGGATTCAAACCCACACCTTATGTACAGCCCATCCTAATGCTCCCTTCCACCTCCTGTCCTGGGTTCTTCCCTCGAGACTCTCAGAGTTTAGGACCCTGGACCAGACCAATGGAGCTGAGTGCTAGATGTCCCACTTTCCTTGCTGTGTGATGTTAGGGAGATGCCTAGCCTCTCTGAGCCTGAGTTTTTCCATGTATAAAATAGAAATTACAATAGAACTCATGGCCTCGATCCTGCATGTAAGGCTTAAGGGAGAGAGAATGTATCTGGCATGTTTCATCTCTCCATAAATCTGAATTCCTAGTAGTACTTGTAGTGGAATTAGGAGACCGTGCTGGGAGTGTTTCTGCTTTTCCTTGGCCTTGAGCTGGGGGTAAGGTGGGAAGGAAGGTGCTACCCATGCGTCTCAGTCGTGGGATCCATCCAGGGGAGCGGCAGCTTGGCTTTCATTCCACCCTTTGCTTTCACAGAAAGTGGTGACAGCCCTTGACCGGACGTGGCACCCTGAGCACTTCTTCTGTGCGCAGTGCGGTGCCTTCTTTGGCCCTGAAGGTACGGCAGGGCGCTAGGCCAACCCACTGCTTCTGGGAGGGCTGGGCAGAAGCAGGAGGCTCTGTGGGCCTTGGGGCCAGGCAGCTCCACTTCTGGAGGCCCTGAATCAGCCCCCAACCCCTCCCGCTCAGGGTTTCATGAGAAAGACGGCAAGGCCTACTGCCGGAAGGATTATTTCGACATGTTTGCGCCCAAGTGTGGCGGCTGTGCCCGAGCCATCCTGGAGAACTACATCTCGGCCCTCAACACCCTCTGGCATCCCGAGTGCTTTGTGTGCCGGGTAAGGAGCCCCTGCTGGGGCTGGAGGGGCTGGGGGCAGGCTCGGGGGAAGGGCCTCTCTTGCTTGGGGTCCTCATGGTGTGAGCAGGCAGGGGGTTCACCTCCTAAGGCTGCCAGGTCCTGGGGCTGTTCCTGAAACCGGAACAGACAGAAGCAAGCGGATGTGTCCCCGTAGGTGCCTTGTCCACCCTCATCTCAGAGCACAGGGTGGAGGGGGCAGGCAGGGGCAGGGGCTGCTAGTACTGTGCTGAGGCCCGGGGCCTGGGGATATTTGGGAGAAGAGAAGGGGGGAATTAAATGAGATAATACAGATACACACAGACTTAACAGAAACGCGGTAGTGGTTTCCACACTGCGTTGTGGGGATCAGGGGCCCTACAGGTGTTTGTGGGAATCTATCGTGGGCTCTCTGAACAAGGTTTGGGAAGCATGGCTCCCTGCAGGCCCCCTCAAGCCTTTAATACCTCATGAATCTCCACATTGGAATCCGGCTTGTACAGTACCAGGGCTTCTGGCAGCACCCTTAGAGCCGCTTGCTTATGCGCCCAGAGGTCAGCCCTCATGTCTGCATCCAGGCTGTGTGATTTAGTAGCGCCATGGCCGTGGACAGGTCACTTAACACGTGCCCCTCAGTCATGTTCTCCCTTGGGAGGGATTAAGCATTTGGGCCATTACTGAGACATAGGAAACTGGCAAGTGGGAGTCGGGACGGGCGTCGCGACCATTCCTACCCCTGGAGCATCACGCCAGGCACTGTCCACCAGAAGGGACAGCCCCTGAGCCACTCGCTCCGCCCGCCCCCTCTGTCTGGCAGGAGTGCTTCACGCCGTTCGTCAATGGCAGCTTCTTTGAGCACGACGGGCAGCCGTACTGCGAGGTGCACTACCACGAGCGCCGCGGCTCCCTGTGCTCCGGCTGCCAGAAGCCCATCACGGGCCGCTGCATCACCGCCATGGCCAAGAAGTTCCACCCCGAGCACTTCGTCTGTGCCTTCTGCCTCAAGCAGCTCAACAAGGGCACCTTCAAAGAGCAGAACGACAAGCCTTACTGCCAGAACTGCTTCCTCAAGCTCTTCTGCTAGGCGCTCTCGCCATCACCGGCCCTTTCCCCAGCCCAGCGTCCCCAACTGCTACTGTGACCCAGAGACCTCGCCCAGGGTTGAGGGGCAAGCCTGACAGAAACTGGAAGCCTCGTCCGTAGCTGGAGCAGGATGAGAAGCAGGCCGCGGGTCCTGCCTACTTCTCTTCACACCTCTCCCCAGCCTCTGGGCTTCTCCCTCCCTCTGCGGCTCTCCCTGGGCCGCCCACTTTGTGTTCACCCAGGCGTGGAGCCTGAAGGGCCCCACCTCACACCACGTGTCTCCCCGCGGAGAGGCCTGGCCAGGCCAGCACCTCACTCTGGCGCCGTGTCTACGCCTATTTCAGCAGTAGAGGAGGGCAGGCTGGGGTCTCTTTTTATCCTTACTCCCCGCAACCCAATAATCCCTAGTGTTGCTGGGGGGATCGCCGCCTGCCTCCACACAATGCCAGCATAAACCCCCTCACCCACAGGCCGAGGTCCCACAGGCCTCCAGTCTCCCCAGGCCTTGGGTGACCGCCCCCTTTCCTGACTGCCCCTTTTGTAACTGTTTTGGTCCTACTGAGAAAGGCCTCTCCAGCAATAATGTTTTATAGCCATTTCTTCCATCTCTGGGGACGGCATGGGGTGGGGAATGTCACCCATGCCTGGACACTGTACCGACTTTGATAGATTTCTACACTGAGGTTTGCATTCGTATTGCCCGAATTGCTTTTACTTCTCTGTACAAGATGATTTTGAAGAGATTTTAAAGACTTTCCTTTTTGTATTCTCCTCCTTGTCCACTGCCACTATCCTATTGGTGACTGGGGCTTTGGGGTGGAGTTGGCTTTGTACTGAGGGCTTGGGGTGGGGAAGCCATTTGTATTTTATTTTTCTTAGCACAAGCAGGTGAACCGGGAGCAGCTCTGTGGCTCCCCTTCTGTACCTTCACAGCGCACCAGGACTGTTTTATAAACTGCTGTATTTTGAAACTCCTTCCTTACTGCCCGGGTCAGTGAGCTTTTAATTAAAATTGACCTAAGGGTGCCTAGCCTTTATGGACCTGGAATTCTGAATCTCATCTGCCCTGTTCCTGAGGGAGGAGAAGGGGTAAGGATGCTTTGGGGGCTGCTTTCTGTCTGAGAAAGCCATTAGGAGCCTTTGCTCCCCGATGAACTTTTTGGCAACAAAGAGAACCTACTGGACATTCTCAGCCTCCTCACTGCTTCTCTGGGGCTCTTTTTTCTGCCGTCTCAGGAAAGCTGGGATCTGACTTTGGCCGCGAAGACCATACAGGTCTCTCTGGTCTCGATTCCACTGGCGCATTACTTCCTCAGATTTCCTGCCTCGCTGGAGACTGGGCTCAGGTCCCTCCCCTTTAACAGGTGAGGTCAATGCTTAGGTCTGGGGAGAAGGCTCCAGCTTGGTGCAAGGGGCCTGGTAGGATTCTGGTCGGAGGGACAGGACCCTGCTGGAGCAGCCAGAAGCCCCAGAGCTCTCTCAAGGTGAAACAGGAGCAGCCAGGCCTGGGGTTCCTGGCCAGGGGGAAGGTCCCCTCTACAGTGATGCATCCAGACCACCCCACCAGCCTCCCTCCTTTGAGGCGGGGCAGGGAGTAGCCCAGGTCTAGGGAGGTCAGCCTGGATCCCCCAAGGTTCTGCCATTGCCACTTCTACCCACAGGCCTTATTGCTCTGTTTACAGTGACCCATCCCAGGCCTCTCCCCAAGGGGCCTGGGGTTTCTGGGGTCCACTCACTGGGTTAATGGTTATTTGATTTTGATTTTTTTTCTCTATAAATTTCTAACCTGGCTTTTTCCATTTCAATTCCTGTGATTTATGCCAATAAAGTTTGCCATTATTTTCACCTGTGCTTATGCCATTTCTTGGTGGCCCGACAACCTAGTGGTCCAAGCCCTCTTTAGACTCAGAAGTTTCACGAGGTGGAGGGTAAATCATTAACATTCTCTGCCTGGAGGCCAGGGCTCCTGTGAGTGGGATCCTTGGTCCTTGCCTTGGCCATAGCTCCAGCAGCAGCTTCAGTCTTAACTGGGCAGTTAGTGGGAGAGGCTGGGGTGTGGGATCTGTCTCGGTGCTACCAATGGATTAGCCGAGGGCATCATCTGTGGCCCTGTGGGTGTCCTTCTCATTTAGATAGGGAAAGAGGGCGCCAGGCGTGGTGGCGCATACCTGTAATCCCAGCAATCAGGAGACTGACACAGGAGGGTCATTGCGAGTTCGAGACCAGCCTGGGTTACAAAGTGAGCTCAAGGCCCTCCTGAACTGCACAGTGAGACTCTGTCTCAAAAATACAAAAAAAAAAAAAAAAAAGAAAAGGAAAGAAAAAAGAAAAAAAGATAGGGAAAGAGGTTCCAGGCGAGAACAGACATGCACAAGGCAACCCCTTGGGTAACAGACAGCACGGCTGTGATGTAAGCCCAGGACTTGCCTCTGTCTGTTCTGCAAAGAGCCAGACATTACCTGGGTATCGCCCTGCCTAGTGGAATGCCCTATAGTTGTAGGCTCAGGTGGGTCTCGACTGCCTCCTTGTGGTCACGCCCATATTTGCATGCTTCCTCTTTGCGCCGATCACAGGCAAGGACCCCAAACTGTTGGGCAGCACTTGCTCCACCTTGAGCGGCGGCCTCAGTTTCCGTGTCATTTGGCATGGTCTCCCAAAGCAGTGTGTCGAATTCTTGTTGGAGCCCTGGCCATTTCAAAGTAATCTCAGAAGTGAACGTTACCTTCAACCCTCATCCAAAGATAATGGCTTCATTTATTCCAGTCCTTATTGGATTCATTCTATTTATAGAAATGGGTGTGGTACACTGCGTTGTAATCTGATTTTTCACTTAACTGCTTCGAGGCTATTTTCCCATGTTAGTGAATATAGATTGCATCCTTTTTAATGACTTCATGGTGTTCTATGATATTGATGTACTACAATTAGAGATGATGCCAGGATGTCCTTGGAAATGCACCATGAAATATGTATATATTTGGAAAAGAATGTTTAGAGGGAGACAGGCTCTGGATTTGTGCAACGATGTTTTTTTTTGGTACCAGGAATCGAATGCATGACCTTGCACTTGCCAGGCAGGCGCTGTGCTGCTGAGCTATACTCCCTGTTCCAGACTCTGGATTTGGAAGGGACTGTATGGCATATGGGTTTTGAACTTCCTCCTAGATTTCAGTTCTAAAACCATCATTTACTGGCCAAGAGATGTTGAGCAAATGATTTAATCTCTTTGAGTTTTCTCATGGATAGAATGGGAATACTAATATTGTAGCTCCTCAGAGCATTGTTGACATCAAATGGAAGCCCAGGTGAGGTGGCACAGATCTATAATCCTAGCACTCAGGAGGCTGAGGCAAGAGGATCACTGTGAGTTTCAAGCCCAGCCTGTGCTATATGCAGTGAGTTCAAGGCCACCCTGAACTACATAAGGAGACCCTGTCTCAAAAGACAAAACAAGAATGGAATGTGCACAGAGCATTTAGCACAATGTTGAGTGTGCAGCAATATGATGTCATTTAAGAAGGATATCAGCAGTATTGACTCCAGCAGTTCTCAAACTAGGCTAATTGTTGGAGGTATTAGGGAGATCTAGAACAAAAGGAACTAGAGGTATAGCTCAGTGGTAAAGTGTTTGCCTAGCATGCATTGAGACTTAGTTTGATCCTCAGCTACTGCAAATAAAATACAAGCTGGGAACAGTGGTACTCCTAGTGCTTTGGAGGCTGACAGGAGGATTGCAAATTTAAGTCCACCTGGGCAACTTAGTAACTTAGACCCTGTCTCAAGGAAAAAATAAAATAAAAGCTGGGACTGTAGCTCAGTGCAAAGGCCCTTGGATGAAGCCCTGGTACCAGAAAAAGAACCCTCCTTCCAAAATAATCCATGGGTCTCATTCCGGTAGGAACCTACTAACACCTGGAAATTTATACTTTTGTAAAACTAGATGACTTTGATATTTAGTCAGCTTTGGGAGTAGTTCCTGCTAACCTTGATGTGAAAAGATGGCTTCATCAGTTACTGTCCAAAGATGAACTCAAACAAAACTTGAGGCAGGGCAGGAATATTGGAGTTTCACTTTTAGATCAGCTCTGCCGGGGGGGGAAATTTCAAGAAACAATTTAGGATCACATACAGTGACAGCCAACTGTTTGTTGGTCACGTATGATTCAGACAAGTTCACTGATAATTTCTAACTTGTTCAAATGAAAAGGGTGGTGATAAGGAGAAACACCCTTTGGCCTTAGGATCTTTCATTAAAAATGCACTGACATAGTACAGTTATTCAAATACATCTTGAATGAATGTATATAATAAAAGAAGCTGACATTTACTGATGTTTCTGTATATCCAGGAACTGTGCTAAGTCTTAATGCATAATTAATCCTCATCACAACTCTAGAATGTGGGTACAGTTATCTCCACTTTACAGATGACGAAGGGGAAACAAAAGGCCAGCAAGTTGGAATCACCTCCTACGAAGACATAGTAGTGAGTGGCAGGACAAGGTGATCTGGCTGCAAATACTGCATTCATTCATTCATTCACTCATTCATTCATTCATTCATTCATTTAGTATTTATTATATACCTACTATGTGCCAGGAACAGGACAAAAACCTCTGCTCTTGTGGAGTTTGCATTCCTGCAGGGAAAGACAGACAATAATGTGAAAAATTAGATCACGAGTTGGAAGGCGTATGAATATCTGAGAGGTGGACAGAGTGAGGAGGAGTGGGAATGAGTCTTCTGATAATTTTTTTTCCTTTTTTTTTTTTTTTTTGTGACAGGGTCTTGCTATGTAGTTTTCAGGCTGGCCTTGAACTCACTATGTAGCCCAGGCTGGCCTTGAACTCATGGTGATCCTCCTGCCTCAGCCTCCCTAGTGTTGGGACTGAAGGCGTGCAACACCACGCCCGGCAACTCCTGATAATTTTAAATAGGGAACCCAGGGCAGGCCTCATTGAGCAGATGGTATTTGCACCAGGACTTGAAGATGAATTACTTAGGTAGATATTATCAAGGAGCATTCCAGGAAGAGAGAAGAGCCAGCAAATGCCCTAAAGTGGGGGCATACTCTGGAAAAGCAGCAAAGTGTATGGTTTAGCTGCAAGGAAATGTGTCAGTAGGAGAATAGGAGATGAGATTACAAGGTGCAGATCACGTAGGACATTTTTTTTTTTTTTTTACGTAGAACCTTATTGGCAGTCTGAGTTTTAGAATTTTACCCTGAGGGAAGTGATTTGAAAAGTTTTGAGCAGATGAAGATGTAGGTTTTAAAGGATCCCTCTGTTTTTGGAGGGGGGAAGAACAAACTAGAGGAGATAAAATACCGTTCTATTTCTAAGGCATTTGCAATTCTCAGCTCCTCGTCAAACTACAGTACATAGTTTGCGGTGTTGGGCAGTTGCGTATCTTCTAAGGGAATATACCTCCAGGCCAGCAGGGGGCAGCAGCTCCTCCAACGCAAGACAGCTCCTACCTTAATTACCCTACCTAAAGACAGCTTCCTGTTGGCTGGAGTGGCAGTGATATCATCCAATGGCTGCCTATATCATTCCGGCGCCAACTAATAGGCAGGAGTGCTGCCTGGGGCTTCTGATTGGCTCCTTAATTCACATATAAAAGACACGCGCCGGCGCGAGGCCCTCCTCTTTCCAGGCGTCCTCGTGAGAGGTTAGTGTGATGGGGTGTTTGTCCAGGGACTGGCGGCTGGAAGCATGAGGTCTTTGGGAGGCCGGGAGAGTGAGGTTGGCGCTACTTGGGGACCATGGGGCTTCCGTTCGCCCCGCTTGGTGTCTGGGCGGCGGCTCGTGCGCCATGATTGGTGGCGGCAGCCGCCCGGGCGCGGGCGCGGGCCCTCGGCGAGGTCCGCGTAGGCCTCTCCGAGGTCCCTTGTCGGGTGTCCACCCCAGAGCTCCCTTTCTCTCCCCAGTGACATCGTCTTTAAACCCTGCGTGGCAATCCCTGACGCACCGCCGTGATGCCCAGGGAAGACAGGGCGACCTGGAAATCCAACTACTTCCTTAAGATCATCGTAAGTGCGGAGGGGGCTGTGGCCGACCACGCAGCAGCCTCCACCCCGATAGGGGTAATCACTGGCCAGGCTTTCTTCGGTGCCAGCCACAGAGTCAGGCCATTTTGCTTAAAGCTGCTGTAATTATTAACAGTTCCCCAAGGTAGATTCCTTCTCTGCTAGGAATACACAGGCCCAGGCCGGTAAGTGGCTCATCTGGGTACAGATGGTACTTTTACAACCCTACCTATGTCTTTGGTAAGGTCTGGGACAAAAAGTGACTCATTCAGAGGAGGCAAAGACCTGTCAGTCAAGAAACTCAATGCCCAGTGGCTGTTTTCAATGGCTTTTGAGGCAGGTCTTACTTAACCAGAAGGGCTGACCATACTGCGCTGTAGGAATTCGGCTGCTTTGTAGAGCTTCATCGGTATTATAGTCTCATTTATCTTGAGAGTTTTCAGACAACACAATTTGTATAAAAACCCATACTTGTTGTGTTTGTTTTGTGACGTTATAAATGTTACAAATCTGTTGCTTCCTCTGACCAGTTCATTAATGGAATAGTTTTAATGTTAACGTGGCCATTTTAGTGAATCAGAAGTAATGTCTCATTTCTGATAACCGTTTTTTGATCAAACATAGGAATCTGATTTCCACCACTCACCTACCAAGCAAGTCAGGGGCAAATCTGACAGTATTACAAGTTAGGTGGCTCCTGGCGTTAGAATCTTGCAGAGATATCAAAACCATAGAAGAAAGGAAGTGAGATGAACCCATGTGATTGTTGAGTTTGGTTTCTGCTGATCTTTCCCCCTGCTAAACTTTGTTTCTGGCTTTTTTTATACAGCAACTTTTGGATGATTATCCAAAATGCTTCATTGTGGGAGCAGACAATGTGGGCTCCAAGCAGATGCAGCAGATCCGCATGTCCCTCCGAGGGAAGGCAGTGGTGCTGATGGGCAAGAATACCATGATGCGCAAGGCCATCCGAGGACATCTGGAAAACAACCCAGCTCTGGAGAAGTTAGTCAATGTTCTTGGCAGTTTTGTCCTTTCCTGCTGCCCTTCTCTCTTTTCCTGGAGAAGAATGGTGCTTTCAGGTGATGTCTCCTGTACACTTCTCTCTGCAGACTGTTGCCTCATATCCGGGGGAATGTGGGTTTTGTGTTCACCAAGGAGGACCTCACTGAGATCAGGGATATGCTGCTGGCCAATAAGGTAGGGAGAAATTTGGATTGGATAGAGAATACTTCCGCTCTTTAAAGCAAAATTGGCCATTCCCAGGTTGGGTCTGAGGACTTTTCTCTTTGTTCATTGTCTGTTCAGGTGCCAGCTGCTGCCCGTGCGGGTGCCATTGCACCATGCGAAGTCACCGTGCCAGCCCAGAACACTGGCCTGGGGCCTGAGAAGACCTCCTTCTTCCAGGCTTTGGGCATTACCACTAAAATCTCCAGGGGCACCATTGAAATCCTGGTGAGTGGACCTGTCTTGCCAGTGCTAGCTGGGCACATCGGGGACCTTGCTTGGAGGCTGTAGGCCTGCTGGATGTCCAGCTGTTAACTGCTTGCTGTTAATCTTGTTCTTCAGAGTGATGTACAGCTGATTAAGACTGGAGACAAAGTGGGAGCCAGCGAGGCGACCCTCCTGAACATGTTGAACATCTCCCCATTCTCATTTGGGCTGATCATTCAGCAAGTGTTTGACAATGGCAGCATCTACAACCCTGAAGTGCTAGATATTACAGAGGAAACTCTGCATTCTCGCTTTCTGGAGGTATGTGCTAGCCAGCCTAGGCTTGAGTCCTGTTTCCACCCCCTAAACTAGTGGGGTAACCAAGTGCAAGCGGTAGTGTAACCTGTCCTGCTCCTGTGAAGGATTTAATGAATTAACATAAACCTTGAGAAAAGTGCTGGGCATGTAGTAAGGGTTATTCTAGGCCCTGCCATAATGAGTCTTGAGTGTGGATTAAAGGGTAAAAACAGTTAAATATGTGTTAACACTGCCAGGTACCATTTCTTGAGAGGACTGATTATCCTTTTATTTGAGATTGTCTTCATTTTGGCATTAAAATTTTTTTTTTTTTTAAGTAATGAATAATGGCGACAGATACTTTTTCCCTTAGGCAAATAGGACAAAAAAAATCAGCATTGTATACAATCACTCTCCTAATATCTGTGGTTCTAGGTGTATGGACTTAACCCATTTCAGATCAGTTTTCGTCATTATTCCTTAAACAGTACAGTATTTATATTGCATTAGGTGTATTAGTAATCTAGAGATAATTGAGGGTAGACCACAGGATATGCATAGACTATGTTCAAAAACTACCATGGTATTTGAGTATTCACAGATTTGATTTCTGTGGGATCCTGGAACCAGTCCTGCTGGGATACGGGGTAAAGACTGTACTAATTAATTTAGCTCTGTTTGTTTTTGAGACAGGGACTCGCTATATAGCCTAGGCTTGAACTCACTGCATATTTCAAGCTGCCTTCAAATTCACTGTCTTGTCTAAGCCTCCTGCATGCTGGGATTATACGGATGAATCTATAATACCTGGCACTTCATTTAATTTTCTAAATGTCCAGTAGAGGTTGAAATTAACATCTGAAATGTTTAACCTGTTCTTACTGGCTTATACCAGTGGTTCAAGCCACCCAGCAGCAAGAGCTACAAATGTTAAAAGTTCTTCTTGCAGAATTCAGTGCAGCTAAACTTACATTTTGCACAAAATTGTGTTTTTTTTAAAAAAAAATCCATGATAATGTAATTTTCTTTCCCACAGGGTGTCCGCAATGTTGCCAGTGTTTGTCTGCAGATTGGTTACCCAACTGTTGCATCAGTGCCCCATTCCATCATCAATGGGTACAAGCGGGTCCTGGCTTTGTCTGTGGAGACTGACTACACCTTCCCACTTGCTGAAAAGGTAAGACCTTACCCTGACTAGTGGGCTTGACAGCATAGTGATAAATGGTAGCCTACTGAGTTAGTACTTTTATAATCTTTGGGGTAGGGAGGTTCCAGAGATGGAAATATTTAAGTTTTAAATTTTTGAATCCCCCCTGACAATGGGCAAAGAAACACCTTATTGGTGGTGGTATTCTTATATCAGTCAGGGGTAGAGTAGATAGCAGTCCTTTGTTCATCCTAGCTTGATGCCTGCTTGGTGGCCAGAGCTGTTTCATGCCTAGGACACATAAAATAAAAATCTAAAAAAGTGTTTTTTGAGATAGGGTCTCGGTAAGGTGTTCCATTGTCCCAGCAGGGCTTGAACTTTCCTGTCTTAGCCTCCCAGACTGCTGGGCTTAAAGGCATGGGCCATCATGACTGACTAGTCGTATTATATGTAGCAGAAGAGATTGGGGGTGCAGAGATGTATGTTGTCTCTTTAGAAATAAGAAGAAGCCCAAAGAGGGGCTATATGCAAGAGCTGAAACCACTGCCCCCCAGCTAGGCCATCCTCAAGCTCTCTCCTGCTGGATCAGTTCTACATAAGAAAGGTTTTATGGGTTGGGACATCTTTGTACAAAGGTCTCCCCCCCACCCCACCAGGAATTGCACTCATGACCTTGCACTTGCCAGGCAGGCACTGTACCGCTGAGCTAAATCCCCAGCCCTTGTACAAAGGTCTTAATAAGTGGCAGAGAGGGTGTGCATGACCATGTTGATCACTCACGTTTCCCCTGCAGGTCAAGGCCTTCTTGGCTGATCCATCTGCATTTGTGGCTGCTGCCCCTGTCACTGCAGCCACCACTGCTGCTCCTGCTGCTGCAGCCGCCCCAGCCAAGGTGGAAGCCAAGGAAGAGTCTGAGGAGTCAGATGAGGATATGGGCTTTGGTCTCTTTGACTGATCACCAAAAAGCAAACTACTCAGCCTGCCTGATGGGCAAAGCAAGGAATAAAGGCATAATTCTCTTTCAGTTTCTGGATTCTTCATTCTGTGTATTTTTAGGTTTATAGTGCTGTGTGCTAGAAACAAAGCAGTGGTGAAAACATGAACTTTACTGGGTTGGTGTTTTGTAATCATAATCTAAATGAAGCTACAAAGTGTTGGGTAGTTCTCTTTTACCACAGGAGGTATATTCAGACCCCGTTGGAAGCCTAAAACTATGTACAGGTGTTCCTGTGGAAGATGGGTTCCACAACCCCCTTGAACACGAAAACCTGTCAGTTCTCAAGCACCTTACATAAAATGATGTAGCATTTGCATATAACCCATGCATATTCTGTATACTTCACATTACCTCTAGGTTACTTAATACCTAGTACAGTATATATATAAGTAGCTACGATGTATTATTTAGCGTATGTTAAGTACAGATTAAGAAATACAGTAATTTTGATCTGCAGTTGGTGGAACCCCTGGAAATAGAGGGCAGAGCTGTTTCTTTCTTATACATGCCTATCATAAAGTTTTTTTTTGAGATGGTCTCACTATGTAAGTAGGCTGGCCTGAAGCTCTTGAGCCATCCTGCCTCAGCTTCACTGCTGAGATTACAGGCTTGAGCCACCATGCCTATCCTATCAAAGTTTATAAAGCAGGCACAGCAAGTTACCAATAAAATAATACCCTAATAAAACTGGGTCCGTTAACATAAAACAGGCACTACCATACTGCAGTTGGTCAGGTACAAATGGCTACTAAGTAGGTAGCTTACGCAGTAGCTACATTGGAGGAAAGAAGATACATGCCCCAGAAGGGTGCAAGACAAGGAACAGTGCAGGTTAAAACCTACAAATTGTTTCTAGCATTCATTCAATTTTCAGGCCATGGTTAAACTGGAAAGCAAAATTGCGGATGAGGGAAGATACATATTATACTAGAATTTTTGTTACTTTGGCTATCCAGCCACCAGCCTGGGTTTCTCATACTTCTGGGTAGCTTTAGTGTCAGTTGAATTGAACTAGCCACTCAAGGAATGCATAGGGTTTTTCAAACTGCTTGATCCAGTTTATAGGTTGTGACCAATATTTAAAAAGAACATGATTACTGATAGGGACCGGCTAGAGATTTTGTTGGGAAGCTTACAGTTCACTTACAGGTTCGTGCTGGATCATGATTTTTTTTGCAGCGGGGAGATAGTCTTGCTGTGTAGTTCAGGCTGGGCTTGCGCTATGTAGCCTAGGCCAGCCTTGAACTGAAGGCGATCCTCATGCTTCAGCCTCCCGAGTGCTAGCATGGTAGGGACCGGGCCACGAAGTAGTTCCCGTAGGTATGCGAAATGTTTGAAGGCCACTGTAAACGGCAACAGCTAAATTGGAAACCTCATTCTCTAGTCTACAGAGCTGCCACATCGACAATCAAGTTACGACGACGCTCCACAGACCTTGTGGCTCTTTCCCGTCCCCTCCCCACGCTGCCCACCTGCGGCCTTGGTTTCTCCTTGCAGCCCTGCGCATCCACCGTTTATTTCCCTCCTACAGGCTTCTCAGCCCCGACACCCCTTTTCTAACCTCGAAGTCACCCCTCCCTGACCTGCATACTCCTTAAGGACAAGAGATTAGTTCTCTCTTTTACCTAGTTAAGTTCCTGCGCTGTAGGAAGCAACACTTAATAGTCTCTCTAGGAAAGCAGTCTTCGGGAAAAGGCCACAGGGCGGGGGTGCAGCCAGACCTGCGGGCTCCAAGTGGGTCCGGGGCTGCGGGGCGGCCTCGCCACGAGACAGACCCTCAGAGCCTCATTTCCCCGTAGCGCCGGCTGAGAAGGGCCTGGGCCCTGGCAGCCCGAGACCCGGAAGCTGGACTCTCAAACGCCGGCTGCCGCGGCCGCCGTCCCGCCCGGGGGCGCCAGGCCCTGTCC